AGCTCGTCGAGAACGAAGCTGGGGAGCTTGCACCACTTGTCCCTGGGCATCTCAGCAACGTATTTATAAATACGGTGGTGCAACGAGTAAAGCTCCCGGCGGTACTGAAAGATGTAGGCCAGATTGCCCAGCACCTGCTGCAATACATCACAGCTCGCCCAGCCACCCGAGACAATCCTATGCAGGAGCATCCAGACCTGCCTGCGAACAGACAGAGGCGCCCCGACCTTGCCGGTCACGCCGTCAATCTCTGCACCACCCCAAGCCTTGAAAGCGGTCTCAAAACGAAACTCTTTGTGCACTGCCCTCTGCAAGTTGGCCTCGAGGTAAGCCTTCTCCGCAGCCTCCACCAATTGCACATCGGTATCCTGTGGCGAGGGTGCAGGCGGCTTGAAGCTACCGTCCACGGGCACAACACCAGACGAAGAGCACCTCTGCCAAATGAGCAAGTCGTCGATGTACACTCCCTGCCAGGACCGGGCTTCTCGGGACCGGCTCGCCGTAAATCAGGGTGCAGCTCGGGCTCAGAACACCTCGCCTTCACAACACCGCCTCGTGAACAGCTTGGGCAATATCGCAGCCGTTAATATCACCCATGCCTAGGACCCTGAAACACAGCCTGTACTCTCGCCGAGGGCAAAGTCCCAGCTCTCGTCGGACATGGGGAGAAAGCCGACGGCCCACAGCAGTATGTTTGATCCAGTTCTCAGGTAAACGGAGCGTGTAGTAGTAGTTGCGCAAGTCGTCCCCTGACCCTCTAAGGTACTCCTCAGGCGAAAGCAAAAGTCTGGTGAAGCACGCCCCGCTCGGGAGCTTCGCCCAGGAGATCTTCTCCATGGTGGCATTCTCCGGTCTCCTGTCGAAAATCAGGCGGTCTTCTGCTTCGTTCTTGGCAACCCCGAACAAACCTCCAACCAACAGGCGCCCGTGACGGCGTCGCGGCAAATCGTCCTCTGGAACGGGGACAGCCATGCCGTGTAGCACCTATCTGCGCACTAAGTCGTCCTCCTCGCTCGGCTCCACTCTGTGGCATGCCAGGGGCACGTCACTCCAGTCCTCTTCGGCCCGCCTAAGGCGGCCCAAGTCCTGCAAGACAGCCGCACGCTCGGGAGGAAGCCATTCGCAAGGATCCACCTGCCCCGCCTTGGGCGGCAGGGCCACACGCGAAGGGACCACCGGAAGGGCAGTCGAAACTTTCCCCGGCACCTGGGCGGCCACAAACGTATTCACGAAGGCCCTACGACGAATCTGTTTGAGCAGCTCCTCTATACAACCTCGCTTCCCAAGGCAACCTAACCGTCCCAAGATCAGATCCAAAGCGGCAAATTCCTCCACCTCGCCGAGGAGCTCCGTGGCAAAGGCTCGGGCCTCCGCCACACATCTGTAGCTCACTCGCGGCTCGTATGCGCCCGCCCCTTCAGCCGGACACCCCAAAGTGACAAAGTTGCCCCAGGCCACAAACGTATTCACGAAGGCCCTGGACCACCAAGCCACCGCACCCGGAGCATCCAGTTGAAGTCCCGCCGTCTCCATCACTTCCGGGAAGGGCAGGGCACTCGGAAAGAGTGGTACATCGTCGCCGGACCGCTCCAGCAGAAAACTTTGGGCACCCTCAAACCAACTCACATAAGAAATAAACCTTGAATTCCCATAAAGCAAGGCAGGATGCACAATCTGCTCGCCCGCCTTGTCATGCACATAGGAAGGGCTCGTCACTTGCGGGAACCGGACGCCTGGGCGTCTCCGTCCTCGTCTCCTGCTGCTGCATGGCCTTCTCTCACCTTCTTCTTGAGGTCGTGGAGCGCCTTGACATAGGAAGACACGATCGCCATCTCCTGCTTGGAGCCCGCGAACTCCTTCTTGGACAGCGGGTCCTCCAAGCCCGTGAGCAGCCACGCTGTCTGCCAGTCCCCGCCCTGAAGCACGCACTGGACCTTGCTCTTGAGATTCTGAATCACCTGCGCCGCTGCCGCCGTCGACTCGCCGTTGCGGAGCAGCTCGTAGACCTCGACGTCCTGGACCGCCGTCCTCTGCAGCCCCTTGAACTTGCCCCAGCTTTGCCGACGCACCCAGTCGTTTAGAGTCCACGATTGGCCCGGTATCACGCCGAGCTCGCGAATCACTTCGGCCTCGAACTGCTGAATGAGGCGATGGGGCCGCTTCCGAATGCTCTCGTGCAGACGGTGTAGCGTGGCTACAGCCTGCATCCCTTTTCCCAGGTGCCCAGCCTCCTCGCCGCCGCTGGTGTCGGAGTCGGAAAAACCAAGCAGGTTGAGGTCGCGGTCGGATTCCTTGGTTTTCTTCTTCTTGCGGCTCCCGCTTTTCTCCAAGGCAAGAGACATCATGAGCAGGCATGAGATCTGCGGGACTTTGCCCCGACGCTAACCCCTTCCGAACCAACTTGCGCAAATCGAGCTCGTCCTCGTCCTCCTCCTTCTCGGTGTGTTTGCGGCTTTTGGTCCGGGCTCCCGGGGCAAGCATCGAGGCACCCTTCCGTCGGGATGCCGGCAACGTCTCCTCTTCGTCGTCGGTTTCGTCGTCGTCGCCCTCGTCGTCGTCCCAAAGGCTCTGGAGCCCTTTCAGGTCCTCCTTGAGAGAGCGGCGGCCCCTGCCAGGAGCTTTGGTTCCTCGCGGCATATCTGCCTCGCTGCTCTCCAG